CTTTTATTATTAGCATCGACCGCGCTAACCGGCTGACCAATGAAAAGACGTCAGTCTCAGTGCGGCGGGAAACACAACATGTTTCTATAGTCCACTATCTGGGACCCGGTGTGTGTATTTGTGTGTGTGTGTGTGTGTGTGTGTNAGCTCCACACATGCCCTCGCCCGAACCTAGGAAGCCACTGATGCAAAGTGTGTGTGTGTTGCGTGCTTTTATTATTAGCATCGACCGCGCTAACCGGCTGACCAATGAAAAGACGTCAGTCTCAGTGCGGCGGGAAACACAACATGTTTCTATAGTCCACTATCTGGGACCCGGTGTGTGTATTTGTGTGTGTGCGTGTGTGTGTGTGTATGTGTGTGTTTTCGTCCTATTTATTATGGCGACAGTCCCCCCATTTTTCGTGGTGAGACATGTACTCCACTTTTCAGCGTATGTAGAGTACGGCACTTTTCAGTGTATTTTTTCGTACAACTACAACCATCCAGGGTCACACAGGAGGGGGTAAAAACCAGGGCTTTTTTCTTCTTATTTTTCTTTTCATGTCCCACCTTCCTCCTGCGGTGCGTGCTGAATTATATTTTTATCGCGAGAAGGATCCAGCCGTCCCTTTCCCTCGTAAACGGTGCTAACGTCGAAGTGTGGTACTTACGAGAGCTTGTCAGCTATTTTTCGCTTTCACCCGCACATTCCGTAAAATTTTCACTCCATGGGAATTCGAACTCACGACCTCTGCAACCAGCGGATTACGAGGATACCACTAGACCACCGGGGCGACCGATCCAACTGCTGAATGACGTATCAGCATCGTGGTGTCCATGAACGAACACACCCCGACTCGCGGGTTCCTACCGAATGAGGCTTCGATTCGCCCTGACGATCCGTTCGGAACGCCTGTGTGTAACATGTTCTTCACTACTGCTGTCAACTCGCTGTGCTCTTGTCGAACACCGTACTACGTTGGTACCATATGATTTTATGTTCGTCGCTTGGTCGTGGTTTTTGTTTATTGTTTTCCTGCCTAAAAATCTCTCCTTTTCCCCATCCAGCACCTCCTCACGAATTGTTAATTACATCTTGTTTGCTTGTGCACTCGTTGATTTGACGAACACTACCCCGATCCTTTGCTACCCTCCACGCAACCCTGGTTCCCCCCCCACCAACACAGGACCTTGACAAAGCTCGGCTGGTGGTGGACTGCGTCAAGCGCCGCGAAAAGCTCAAGAGATCTGCGATCCGCTTCGCCAACGCCTACTGGAAGATCTTTGATGACACCATGGATGCGCCCCGCCCACGCGCACCCAGGCCTTCTCAACCAAAGGTGACCACAGCGTCGGCTGCGCCACCGGCGGCTCCACCGCTGCTGTCCACATCTGCCCGCCCTTCCACTCGCCGGGCTGCAAGGACCACGAGCGGGGCGGTCAGCAACGGTGTCAACGTTTACGGTGGTGGTGCTAGTGGGGCCGGAGGGAGCCGTAGCAGTGGACGAGCGGCAGCCGCAGCGGCTAGGGCGGCGGTGGCAGCCCTTGCTACTGCTGAATCGATGGAAGAAGGCGATTATGATGCGGGCGTGGAGGAGCAAGAGCGTGGTGGGGAGGGAGAACGGGAGGAAGAGGTGCCAACGCCACCACCGCTACCGGCAAAATTGAACGGAAAGGCGGAGGGGTTGGCGGAGCAGGAACAAGGCTGGAACACGTTCGCACAGCTGCCGACTCGGGCGGTAGCTATCCCCACTTCAGTACGGCCGCCGAGGCAGAAGAAAAAAGGACCAGGGGTACAACGTGAGAGAAACGAGGTTCGGGAGCGCGCGTTGCAGGCGGTGACTAACCCTGCTCGAGGCCTGTTCGTGCACCGTGGCGTGGCTGTGGACGATGTTGCCGTGGACCGCCGCCACGAGAGGCCGAACTCGACAGCGGTGGAGCTGGTGGAGAGAGATGAGGGCATTCCTGGGGCTCCGCAGCACCAGCGCTCCACCAACTCAAGCAAGCCGCCGGGAAAGGTAGCACCAGCGGTCAATGCTGAACAGAAAATAGATGAAAGAGCAAGGCGCCGGGAACGTTTCAACTCGGCGTCCTCGGCTGCTCTTGCGCAACAACAGGCGAGCCGTCGTCAGCAATCAAACCGTCAGCAATCGAGCACTCGGCAGTCGAGCCGTCAACAGCCAAGCCGTATGCATCGGCTTCGAGGGCCGCAATCAGAGGTGGTTCAGGCGGACGAAGAACAGGATGAAAGCGCAGAGGTCCAAGATGTCGAGGCCCCCATTGCGGCTGGACGCGCAAGTCGGCGGGGTGGCGCTGGCTTGCGAGACGGGGTTGCAGGTCGGCGGGGAGTTGGGGGTGCAAACGAGCCCGAGAAGGTGAACGAGGCCCGTAGCAACACGACCAAAAAGCGGCGCAAGGCTGCCTTTGGACCCGAGGACGCTGAAGAAGAGAGCAACAAGTTCGACGGTGCAACCAAGGGGCGTAAGGTGATGGCGCGTGGGTCTGAAAGGACAAAGCGCCGCCGGCTGGACGAGAACACCAGTGTCGATAACGGAGCGCTGAGCAACGTGAGGCAGCACCGCGCAAGGTCATCTTCTGCCTCTTCCTCGTCATCCTCTGACCACCCGTCCATCTCTAACACGAGAGCAAGCCAGTCGGAAACGGCAGTGGTGGTAATGGAAGATGTTCCGATTTCGCCCAAGGCAGCCGTGATGTTGCCTAAAAGCAAGAACCACAAGACCACCTCCAGGCCTAGCAGGCGCAAGTCCAGGTTTGCCAACGATGGGCGCAGGAATCGCGCATTGGCGCGCCTGTCGTGAGCCCGAGGTCACAACTTTTCCGCTCGACAGGAGTTTTCGATGATGGATTTCAGGAAGGGCTTTCGTGAGTGAGGGGCAGCGGATAGGTGCGAGACCTGCGACGGGGAAAACGGGCAAGGGAGAGCTCCTGTGAAACGGGGTGATTGCTTGCTTAGCTCGAAGGTGTGCTTTTGCGGTCGCTGGTGCATGGTCTCCCGAAACATGCAAGGCGGGTGAGGCCGACCCCCCGCGTCGGGTTCTGGCAAGAGCGCAGCCAAAGGACTTTGTTTTGGGCTTTTTTGCCCGGTCATCGGTGAGGCACATGCTGCCAGTCTTGGCAGATGGATTGATCGATTTTCCTAGACACGCTTTGCGGACGATGGTCGTAGTTGCTGTGCTGCTTTATTGCCTGCGAGGATTGTGTCCCTCCTGTCGTCACCTTGGCCTTGCCTTTTTAAGCGATACCAACCACACGACCCTTGTAAGGTTGCTGTGGTTGGCAAGTCTCGCGCGGTGCGTTTCTGCGGAATCCGGCATCATCGTGAAGGCAAGAGAAAACGTGGGGGGCACATTGCAGCGAATATCTTGGTGTGGTGGTGCCGTTGGCAATTGTCAATACGGCATGCAGTTGCTTGCACAGGGGTGTTCTAGGACGGACCTCGTACCGGCTGCAGCAGATGGCTCTTGTTGATGGTGACTGCTGTGTTTGCTATATGTTGCCGATAATGGGGCGCGGTGGCGCGAAAGACCTATGGGTACGGACACTGAGCTGCGTGGGTTGAACTTTTTATTCGATTTTTTTGCAAAAGTGGTAGCAATTGGCTTGGGCTTGGTGGGATGCCAGAAATGATTTCCGCGCTAAGTTTTTTTCTTGCTTGAGTACCGCAGTCGATCAAGCTGCTTGATGATTGTGGATTTAGCGGTGGTTCCCACTTGAGCACATGGTTACGATGTTTGTAACAATATAGGTTGTTGGCGATGGTAGGATGATCAAGTGAATAGAGTAGATGATTTGAGGACATACCGAAGTTCGAAGGAACTGTTCGTGTGCGGTAAGAAAAGAATATGATGAGCGTAGCGCAGAAGTGAGGTTTGTCCCGTTTTGGATGGCGATTCTTACGAGGACGGCGGTTCTGGGCCTTGGAGTTTTGGTTTCGTGTCGCTAAAAATGGGAAGTCCGGTTTGGCACGAGGGTGCGTTGAGGGTCTGTTTTGTTTGTTCAGGTGTTGAACGTGAGATGAATCCTTGCGCTTGTTCTCACATGTAGTTGCTGTAGAGGCTGCGAACGAGGTGTCGTTTTGCCGATGGGGTGGATGTTTGTTTCGACAAGCGCTAATAAAATACGGGTCCTCACGACGGAGCTGTCGAAATCGCCCCGCTAGGTGTTTGTACTAGCTGTCTCACACCTGATTTTACTATGCATGGCGGTAACGCAACGGGACTTCAGATTTGTTCCGGGAATTACGAAGACAAATGACATCGTCGAGTCCACGATCGCTGACAATGAAAACCAAGAAGAATTACACACGGGTTGCGTGGAGCAATAGCTATCCCATCTCATGCAGATCCATCTCTCGAGAACACACAGCGTTGCCGGCAAAGCTTCGTCGAGGACTTCAGCTGCCCCGCTTGGAAATCAAGTGGCGGCCACTTGTATGCAAGTTTCCTAGCCGGCACGAAAGAGCGACACAGGCCAGAGAAGACTCCTCCACCACCGAACACGTATTCCGCGCGAAGATACCTATTTTTCGCATTTTTTGCTGAAACGTCACAAATCCCGACGAGAATGAAGGCAACAGGAAGGAGGAATGGAGACCACCCGGTGTCGGCGAATGAGTAAATCATTGCCTTCACCAACCTCGGGTCCGTTTGAAGTGGGAGGGTACCCGCAGCCGTTCGGTCCAACAAGGACGCTTTTCAATGTCATTGTTTCACAATTGCATGGGATGGTCGAAACTGCAGGCGCTCGTTCACACACTGCTGTGACCTGTGACGGCATGCTTGAGTTGGACCTGTTATACCATCCCCCCGTCAGCGTTGCACGAATCGCCCGCGGCAACGGCCTCGGGTGGCGACGAAACGGCACCAAACACGACAGCTCCGCGTGGAGTCCTCGCCAATACCCTGACACGCCAAGCTTTGTGTCCACTCTAATGCTTTTTTATCTGGGACTTGGGAAGATAATTCGACCGACTACGTGCGACTGAGACAAACGCAGGTTTATGAAAAACAGAGTAACCAACGAACAAATTTGACCAAAGTGGCGTTAAAAACTCGTCCTTAGCTCACGAAAAAGAAAAACTCAGTGCGGCGGGATGTGCTTTGTTGATCCAACGCTTTGTACACATCAAAACACGAGCTTCCGACCAAATACCAGCTATCCGCAGATGAAGACTAGGGCGACATACTAAGTTCGGTCACGTCGCCAGCCACCACCCACCGCTCGCCACGCTTCAAAACTGCGGCAAAATCATATCAGACCGATTGAAAGAAAGCGAATTGAATTTCATTCAAACGGACTCCGCTATTTCAATCAAGCCGTTGCGGGCTGTGCCCCAGCGGCGAAGAACTCCGCGAAGAACTCGGGCCCGGCCCTCTTCTGCTCGCGTCGATTATACATATCGGGTAGTCATCGCAGCCGGCAACAAGCGCCCAGGAAGGTCACACGGACACGCACACAGTGTGCGCGTGTGGCAGCAAAGAGAAGAAAGCAGGGAGCCAGAGAGAGGGATCGAGGGATCGAGGGATCGAGGGATCGAGAGAGAGAGAGAGAGAGAGAGAGAATCGAGACAGAGGGAGGAAGAGAAAAACAAAGACAAAAGTATCGTCAGCAGGCCCCGCGGCAACGACAAGTAGGACCGGAGATGAAGGTGGGCAAGGGGCATGGCATGGATGGATACGAGGAAAGGCTATTCAGCGGCCTCCTCCCGCTCACGGTGGGCGGAACAGCCTACACAGAACAGGACTTACAGGAACAAAGAACCGAACGGACTGCAACTTCATCAAGTAGAACAAAAAATACAAGCACCGACGGCAAAAAAAGCAAAGAACGAAAGCGGACAGGGAAGGTGCGTGCGAGAACCGCCGGGGGGGAGGGTGGTAGGCTTTGTTCTGGGAGCACACTTCACTAGCGTACAGCGGTACCTTGAGCTCCATCCCCGCATCGTGGCCCATTGCCACGGCATCTTCCGGCTTGCCCTCGCGGGTAGTGTCGTAGAACTGCTTGCCGTCTGGGCTTGCGATCAGCCCCCGGAACACAAGCTTTTCTCCCTCCATTCTCGCCTTTTATTGATGCCATTGGTTGGCAGCACAGCAACGATTTCTTACGAGTGTCATCGTCAGCTTTGCCAAGTTTCGCATGTGCAGTTTTTATGAACTCGAGATTCAAATCAAGCCTCGTCAGACTTCAACAACATCCGCTCAAAACATGATCCGTGAGAGCTAGGTTAGCTTGGTGAATAGATTCTCGTCTGCCTCGAGGACATACAGGTCCACATGGGTTGACTGGCGTTACGGCGGTCAACAAGTTGCCCAGAAATGGCGTGTGAGAATCGTCATGGGTGAAAGAGCGAGAGGATGGATGAACGGTGCTTTCAGTGTCTTCTCTTGTATGCATAGTGTCTTCGACGAGTTTGTTGCCTTAACTTACCTGCCCTGCGATGGGGGTCTTGCAGTTGCCGTCCAACGCAGCGAGGAAAGCACGTTCACAGTCCACAGCCGTCTGCAGCACCATGGTACAATGTGACCGCATGGTCACACCAACGAGGAGAGCAAGATACACACGGCAGTGCACACGCGCAAACGTAAGAAAACCAACAGCAGGTGACGAACCGGTCAGAACGTAGTTGTCCAAAACATCACAGGGTGAATCAAGACACTGGGAGTGTGATTGGGGTAAACCACAGGTAAAGACGAACAAAAACAAGATCATTCATACACTGCACCAAGCGCACACCAACGGCTACGTGCGAACTTGAATAACTGCTCAGACCGGATAACATCGTGGCATTCATTCAGTTTCGCATTCCCCGCGTACGTCTTCCAAGTACCCGGCATAGTGACAACACCGTCTCTTGCTGTCCAAACCAGGCCTGCCTCGCTACTGTAAGCGATGCATGCAATCATCACAACCCCCGCTATCTACGTTCTGCAATCCCACCATCATGATAATTCGGTACTGAGTGCGGTATGGCCCTGTAGCGCACTCTCGTACCCTTTTTTATATTCTTGCCGTCCATCCACGTGCCCAACCAACAAGAAACCTCAAAACACGTTACTATTTTAGTCCCCTTGCGTTCAACAAGCTCATGAGGAACGTTTTCCACCATGAGTCCACGCCAAAAATCTCACCAACAAACACCACCCAATCGACACGAACGGTACCTATCTACCGCATGTTTCAGGCCATGGCCATGTCGATTACCTTACATGTACAGTACCTCACCTTGGTCTCCTGGTGGCACAACCCGGCGAGGTACTTCTCGAAGGTGGGGTCGTTCTCTCGGCACTGTATTCCGATCGCTCCCTGAGCGACAGCCGGAAGCATCGCCTGCTCCATGCAAACGAAACAACAATAACAACAGCGGTATGCACGGGGGTGGGGTGGGTGGGAGAGCGCGAAATTCACAAAAGTCGATTCTAGTAAAACCTTGTATTCAAAAAACCCAACTAAACCAAGGCCTCCAGACGTCTCTAGACTACGGAATGTAGAGGGACAAGACGGACAGATGTTGAGAAGACCTCGAATGCAAGCGCACCCGTCAACACCGTGTGCAAATTATCTACACGCCGACAGACAACCTGGCGCGACACCATAATAAATAGCATCCCAATCCTAGCCAAGGCACAAACATGAAATACATCTGCGCGACCACATTCAAAAAGGGAGAGAGTCGTGGACGGTGTTAGGTATCGGATACATTTAAGCAAGAGACACAGCCTCACATCTTGGTCCAATACAGACGTGGCCACCTGGGCCATCTCCAGCCGCTTCAGTCCAGCGAACGCCAGCAGGGTTGCTGCCGTGAGGAAGAAAAGGGGTGCATATTTGAAATGGTACAATACGTGCACCATGTACGATACGACAGCAAAATAAATAGCTCAACCCACACAAATAAATTTATGCGTGGAGGATGCCAAGAAAAACACAAGGGTAGGGGGGAAGCGAGGACTGATGTGGCAGGGAGACACTTATAGACATACATGTGTCGCATTGCATGCAAACGGACGCATCAAAAACTCTCTCAACACGTTAACCTGGTACAATGTTAAGCTTACCATCTGCGCCCCTTCTGGGAATAAATATACATGACATACACGCAAGGAATGGCAAGCACACCTTCAACTTCCCCAATGGCAGCAGCAACCGTATGATAACGTACCATCGACGATCTCCTCGTCCAGCTTCCTGAGGCGCGTCTGCACGTTGCCGCGGAAGTTGACGACCTTGAAGGTCGGGTTAGCCCTTAGGAGCTGCGCCTGACGACGCAATGACGCCGACCCGATCACGGACCCATCTGCAGACCGATGTTGTCACAGCAGGCACGAAGCAGATGAGGATATCGAAAGATAGAGAGCAAGAAGGTCGAGTCCTTGGGGAGATCGTCGAAATGCGACGAACGATTGGAGGGAATACGATGACTGCTGCCTTTCAGCGCGTCTGTGTCTCGAACAAACCGGGAGACTAATTAACTAGGTGCGAGCCGAACCAGACACGTGCGGGCAAAAGCTTCTGCTGCCCGTCACGTCATCGTGGAATGTGCTACTAATAACACGAAGACGTGCCGATGGCGACATAGAGCGATGGCTGGAGATACACAAAGAGGCAAGCCATCCGTAATAATCGATTCATAACCTCAGCACAAATGCGTCGGTCACGTTATCGTATCCTGGACTTGGAACAAAAAGCGAGCCCACGCAACAGAGCTAGCTCTCCCCCCTTCCCCCCGAAACACACGCACACAGACGTGTTATTTGCTTTCGTCGTGTCTCATCTCACCGGGCAGGGAAGCGATGTTGTCGGCCTTGTTGGAGATGAAGGCATCCGAGGTATCCTCACGAGGGAGGTTGCAAGGCAGGATGGTTCCCGGCACGATCCACGTTGGCACGTCCTTCATGCTGTGCACGCAGATGTCGACGTCCTTGTTCTGAAAACACAAGGATATTAAACAGTATCGGCTGACACGGGTCACGCGGCGATCCCTTCCTTCCTTCATTCACCTTGATCTACACTGGCGATTCTTCTCACACCGCCCATTCCTTGCGATTCACGTGTTGTGCGTACGTCCGATCACGGTCACAAGACCCGAACTTCACCGTCGCCCTGGGGCTACTGGAGATTGCATGCACATTGGGGAAACACGTTCTCCTGTGGCAAAACGCCAGGAAGCCAGACTTTGAAAGTATGCGGCAAAACGAACGCAAAATCTTGTTCAGAACTGATCACCGCCAGGTATGTTTGGGTGATGACGTTTTCTGCGTCTCAATACCAACGAGCAACACCATTTTGAAAACAAACGTATCTAGTA